AACAGGGCGAACAGCGCGACACAGTTTCGACATGGTCGCGTTGCAGTAGACACTACTCAAACAAGTTAGTGTAGTGGCCATGAGTACCAGGTTTTCCATGATACATCGAACCCCAGAAAGTTGGAACATGGGTTTAGGATGATTAGTGCTAGGATCCCTTATACACTACCTCAAGGGCATGAGGATTACACTGTTCCAACTTTATGGCTTCTACTATACATGCTATGATCATACAGGAACCTGATTAGGAAGCCCTGGGCCTTTATTAGGGTTCTTTGTATGTGCCCTAATGAATCTGGGCTCTGGAGTACCATACTTTAATACTTTTTTTGGGGACTTCCTTAAAGGAACCATTCTGAAATAAAAGCCTATACTTTTTTCTGCTTGGTTATTTCAAAGTCCAGGAATGTATTGAGGGAGCAAGGGCCAGGGCTTCTTAATCAGGTTCCTACATTACCTTAGCCCTTAACCCTAAACCCTAAACCCTAAACCCTAAACCCTAAACCCTAAACCCTAAACCCTAAACCCTAAACCCTAAACCCTAAACCCTAAACCCTAGCCCTAAACCCGAATCAGGTTCCTACATTGCCTTAGCCCTAAGCCCTAAGTTACTTTTCTTTTGCTACCAGGTTTTCATGAGACATGTGGGTAGTTCTCTAAATTAGGGTCCCTTTTGGGGTCCTTTTTATAAGGGTGCCGTACTATTTTGGAGACCTAAATAGGGACCCTAATCTAGAGAACTACCCGTGTAAACGAAGACAGCGCCGACCTCAGGTTCTTGGCTGAGTTGGTGCTCCGTGTGGCGGCTTCAGGACGGACAGAGCTGCGGTTGATGATCTGATGATCTGAATCCTGCATGACCCATAAGACGGAATATACCTTGCTTCCCATAGTTTAGGGTCCTTAACTTAAGGTAATGCAGGGTGAATATCAACCCTAAACCCCCTAAACCCTAAACCCAGCCCCATCAACGGTAGGACCAGGATGGCAGCCCAAACCCTTGGACCCTTTTTTAGCCTTCCACTCGAAGCGCTTAAGGCCCGCAGACCTAAACCCTGAAACCCCGAAGCCCTAAACCGTCCTAATCCAGAAGGTGAAACCACAACACGATAGAGCTCACGGTTCTATTCCGGCTTAGGTCTGTTTGGGGTTTGGAGTTTAGGTTTGTCGTTTTCGAACAGTTCCGGATTTGTCTGAGGCCTAGATTGTGCTGGCCTGAACTTATGTTGCAAGCCCGGAAATTAGCCGGCACAGTGTTTGTTTCGTAACACCTTTTGTTGTGCCCCTACTGTTATTGCTGTTGCTACTCTTGTTTTGTTGTTCTGTTGTTGTTATTGCGTGTGTTGTTATCAGATCTCTGTTTCCATGCCTGGTTATCCGTTCCCGTGTGAATGGCTAGCACTATAATTTCCCTTGTGCGAGTCCACGAACCGCCTGGCTACCTACCCAGTGAAGGACTGACGAAGGCTAGAAGACTCAAGATTTGGAAGTTTCTTTGACGTTAGGGTGCCTTATTTAGGCGTCCTGGTAGAAAGGATCCTCTTTGTATGGGTTCTATACGTGCACGGCTTCTGATCTTCTGATATTCCGATATCAACAACAGCAAAAAACAGCAGTAAAAGCAGTGATGGTAGATAAGGTGGAATAGCAGACACGAAGGAGCCACAAGATAATTGCAGGCAGTAGCTCAGGCGCTGACCCTAAGCCTCCGAATGCGAGCTCCAAGCCCTAGCCGCATGACAGCCGGGGCCATACCGCACCCTGTCGAGCCATAGTATGGAAGTCGCAGACTGTTGTGCCACCTTGTAATTCCCAGTAGTAACCCTAAGCCCTGAAACCTAAACCCTAAACCCCTAAACCCTAAGCTCTAAACCCTAAATCCTAAACCCCAAATCCGAAACCCTAAACACTAAACCCTCACCTTTAACATTTTTTGGGTACTAGAATTTCTATATACTCCCAAAAGTCAACCTTTAGTTCTTTAGGATACTCTACAAGTAATGTAGGGGCTCAACAATTACCTATGATTTTGGTGGTTTCTTATTACAACTACAGCATAATATACCTCGAAACCAGCTTCTAATTATTAAGGCCCCTATATTATGTTTTAATGTGCTGTGTAAGGCCCTTGAGTTCTTTTTGCCAGTGACCTAAGCCCATCCGCAGCAAGCGAAACCTCTTCTTGATGGTTCGAATTCAGGTCACGCCTGGGTTTCGGGTCTTGTCATAGCTGGCGAAGGGCTTCAGGGGGTTGAGGGTTCGGGGCGGTCGTGTTTTAGCAGGTGCTTTAGGGTCAAGGGCTTGTGGGTTTTCAGAGGGTGGGGGCTGCCCCAAGCCTCAAACCCTGGTGGTGCCCTGAACTCCTGCGCTGCGACGCGTGAGAAGAGCTTTGTTTAGGGTTTAGGGTTTAGGGTCGTCTGCTGCTGTGTTACCGTGCCCCCATGTCGCTGTTCTGTCACAGTAGCAATCCGGACCCAAGAATCCGTGCCCTTGTGCGAGC